AAACCAGCCTGAGCAAGAGCGAGACCCCAACTCTACTATAAATAGAAAGAAATTAATTGGCCAACTAATATATAGAGAGAAAAAATTAGCCGGGCATGGTGGCACATGCCTGTAGTCCCAGCTACTCGGGAGGCTGAGGCAGGAGGATTGCTTGAGCCCAGGAGTTTGAGGTTGCTGTGAGCTAGGCTGACGCCACGGCACTCACTCTAGCATGGGCAACAAAGCAAGACTCTGTCTCAAAAAAAAAAAAAAATAGCTATTGGAAGTGCATCCTGAATCCATGGAAGTAAACCGTAAGTCTTTCTTTTACCGCAAGCTTTCAGGGGTAAATACATATGGTCAGCAGTGAACTGATGGATAGCATGATGTGTTTAAAATTTGGGCCACAAACTCAAATGTGCAAGAAATATCATTTTACTGGCCTTATTAGTTATTTACTGCTACATAAAATTTATTCCAAAACCTAGCAGCTTCAAACATGACACATTTTTATCTAACAGTTTCTGAAAGTCAGGAACCAGGTGCAGTTTAGCTGTGTTCTGGCTCAAGCTCTGACCAAGTCACTTGAGCTGAGGTCTCAGGATTCACTTCCAAGTTCATGTTATGATTGCCAGTCTCAGTTCCTCTTGGGCTGTTGGGCTGGAGACCTCGATTCCTCGCTAGGTGGGCACAGGGCAGCTCGCACCATGGCAGCTGGCAGCCATCAGATGGGAGTGACCGAGCAGGAGAGGTTGAGCAAGTTGGAAGCCAAGGTCATTTTGTAGATGAATCATGGAAAAGAGATCCCATCACTTCTGAATTCTGTCCAGTAGAATAAAGTCCCAAGCACACTTGAGATAAGGAGACCACACAGAAACATGAACAGCAGAGGGCTGTTCATGGGGACCACTTTAAAGTCTGTCCCCCAGAGTCCACCCTCTGGCCCCAGTGGTTCACATCCCTGACACATGCAAAATACATTCTCCCCTCCCTAGGTTCCCAAGTGTCACATCCCATTCAGTCTGCAACACAAAGCCCAAAATCGTGTCATCTAAATCAAGGCCAGGTCCAGAGGAGGCTCTCAGGTGCAGTTCTTTGAGCACAGTTCCTGGGGCACACACACCTTCCCTTGATCTGTGGGCCTGCAACATGAAGTCTGCCCAGCACGCCCCGTATACGTGGCAGGACAGGCAGAGGCTGGCAGCCACACACATTCTCGTTCAGCACAAGCAAGCAGCAGAGGTTCAGATAAGAGGCCTCCATCGCACTTCTGAAATCCAGGCAGGCAAAGCTTGGGCGTTTCCTGCTGAAGCTTCCAGGCCTGAGAATAATTGCCCTGTGGCTCTTGGCTCTGCCTTCCGAGTTCCTGGTTTTGCCTTCTGATCCATCCTTCCACTTTCGAGAAAGCCATTCGCAAATGCAGGTGGGTAGTTTCATCAGCCTGTTTCCCGCCACCGGACCTGGGGAGTCTGACGCCACCTCTAGCTTTCACTCTCTGTTCCTGTCGGAGTAAGGTGGCAGTTTTTCGGCTGAGACATTTCCTCAGACGCTTTACAGGCTTTCTGTGGACTGCAACAGGTTCACCCCTGGGACACAGGTCACATCCACGGCTTTTGAGGGCCCGCCTCTGCCTTGGCCCCCATGGCGAGACCTGAGGACGGCGCCCTCGGGCTCCCAAAGGCCCTCAAGTTCATTGCGAGGCTCTGCGGAGCAGAAAGGGTCTTTCGCCTGAGTATTCTGACACTTGAACTCTGAGAGGTCTGGCAAAAGGCTGTCTAGCTATGGCCTCTGTTCCCCCAGGCGCGTTCTCCTCACAAACTCTCCCAGTGCTGGCTCACTCGCCGTCGGGAGAGGCTGAAGAATTTTCAACATCGTCACGTCCTTGTTGAGTTTTGTGTGACAGTTCTTCTCTCAATGTCACTCTGTCCTCTTGCACTTTGCCGTGAGTGGCACTAAGAAACCAGGCAGCACCTTCAACACTTTGCTTGGAAATCCCTTTCGGCGCGCAGCCGAGCCAGTGCCTTCCAAGTCTGCTGTTCGTACAACTTCAGGATACAATTTCCTTGAGCTTTCTGCCGCTGTATCACACGACTCTGCTCCTCCAGGCCCTGGCAACACGCTGCCCCTTGCCTCCAGAGCCCCCAGTGGCAGCGGCGGAGTCTGTACGATGAAGAGCAGTGGGTTCCAGCCCTCCCATTAGGCTGCATTTATCATCCTCCTCAAAATTCTGCCAGCCTCCCGCATGGCCTGCTCCCAAAGCCCCTCCCCCATTTGTAGGTGCTTGTGACAGTCACCATCCACGTCCAGATGCCTACAGCTGTGTCAGCTATCTACTGCTTGGTAACAAGTCACCACAGATCTAGCAGCTCAACATGACACAGTGCCTGTGGATGCGGAGTCTAGTCGCGGCCTGGCTGGCCGTTCCGAGGTCTTGCCAGGCCGCAGCCGGGTGTCAGTCAGGCTGCACTCTCTTCTGGAAGATCAACTGCCAAAGAAAGAGTCTACTTCCACGCTTCCTTGGCTTGCGGCAGAATTCATTTCCTGGTGGCCATACAACTGAAAGTGTCAGGGTTGCGGCCCGCGAGTTGGATGTAGCCTCAGCGACTTGAGGCCGCCGGGCCACGCGGCCCGCACGCAGGCTCTTCCAACACGGAAGCTGGCATCTGCAAGGCCCGCAGGACAGTGAGAGCAAGTGTCTAGCAAGCCTGAGTCTCAGCTGACATAATCATAGGACTGACGTCCTGTCACCTCTGCCACACGCTATCGGCTAGAAGCGAGTCACAAGTGCCACCCACATCCAAGGAAAAGGGCAGACAGGAGGCGAGAACGTGGGGAAGCAGGGATCCTGGGGACCAGTTTAAAGTCTGTCCACCGCAGAAGTCAGGACATCCTGAAGGATTGGGAAAGCTGCTTCTCTAGGGGGAAGAGGAAGCTCCAAGGCCTGAGAAAGCCTTCCTATAATTCAAATTTTTCTTTGGAAGTTTAAATTTTATGTTTTGCAATGAATACGTCAGTTGTTTTCTTGGAAATGACAGGCTCACTCCATTCACTTACATGAAAATGTTGCCAAAACCTCAAATCTGAGAGGTTTGACTGTTGTTGTGTCCAGTAGAAATGCTGTTCCATGGAAAGAACGCTTAGTTTAGCTTTAAATCAAGTGCACTTCCTTGACGAGCACTTTGGTGCGTATGTCTCCTTCCCGTTTTGTCTCTCAGAATACTAAAGATGCACACTCAGGGATTGAGATTATAAAGAAAACTAATAACTTTAACTGCTTCATCAAGGATATTCTTCAGTGAAACTGTCATTTTCTAAGCTGGGAACGTGGCAGTGGTGACTGCAGTGGCTGCCAGTGTGGGGCGGCCACAGCCGTGACAGAGGCCAGTGCCAGCGGCTTCCTCGCAGGGCTGCAAACACGCACGGGGAGAAGCAAATCATACCTGGGTTTCAACCCTGCGTACCCCCCAAAAGGGGCGTGAGGAGCACAGAGATCTGTGAACCACACTTTGAGGACTACTGATACAAAAAAAAAAAAAACCAAAAAAACAAGTAGGCAAAAAATAAACTGAAAAATGGACAGGAAAATGCATAATTACGCAATTCATGATTCCATAAAATTGGTAAACTATTAGAAAAAATGTAGTACCTCATATCATGTTAAACACAAAAAATATGCAGATAAAAAGGTAAGTGAGAATATAAATATAAGAGATATACAGGATATCTCATCCGTGGCTAGAAAGAGGCTTTCGAAATCACAAAACACAGATTAGAAGATTTGACTAATAAAGAGTCTACTTCCAGGATGGTTCCCCTTCTAATCCAATCTGACTTTCCCCTGAGATGTTCCAAATCCCAAATCCATTGTCTTAAATTTCACCTTATATATTGGTGAACAATATTATGACTTGAAATGATTTTAAGAATGCTATTCATTCTCCGGTAGCTTCTTGTGGTAAAAGAAAAGAAAAAGAGAATGCTATTCATAGGCTGCTGTTTATACTATTTTAAAATTGCTTAGAATTTTCCAATTGCATCATTTCTTCTGATGCATTAAGCCATAGCTTCTCAAACTATAGCGTGCATTTAGACTTGGGGGTCTTGTTAAAATGCAGATTCTCAGAGCACTGAGTCCGGGGTGCTCCTGCCGATAGTGAGGCTGCTGTTCCCCATGGAAAGACTTCACATTCCCTGGTAACCAGGGTGCTGAGGAAACTAAGTCTCTGGGGGTCTTGTTAAGGTTATCATCCTCCTGTTTCTCTTAAGCCCATATAGTTTTCTGCTTGTTCTTATAAGAACTTTCTCAGCACCTAGCAATCTTGTCTTCTGCAAGAGTCCAACCTCAGGGGACTAGCTGAGTAAAGTATGGCACACTCATTTGGTGGGAAACTATGCAACCTAAAGAGCTTTTAGGAATGTGGAGTTCTGCTTAAAGTGCACAGTCCAGTTTTAATGATGATTTATCCATAATGTAATTCTAGCTATATAAAAATATATTATGCTGCATGCTTATGTGTGTACACAGAGAGAATGACCTGGAAAGAAATATACCAAAAACCATTCTGAGTTGTGAACTTGTGTGTGTTTTCCTCTCCCTTATACATTGTGTACTTCTCAGATTTTTTCAATGAGCATATATTACAATAATTAAGCTTATTATATGCATTAAAACATTTTTAAAATTAAGATTGCTCTAATCGTTAGAGTTAGAAGAACCTGCCCTGGGAACTCATACCGGGGATCCATGAGGGAGCTTTTAATTGTAGTCTCAAAGTGAGATTTTTGTGAAGGTTAATTGTTCAAGTTTTAAGTTGTTTGTTTAGAAAAGACATTAAAGCACCTTTTCACCAAATACTAATCAAGAAGCTTCAAATAATACTTGAACAAAAAGTATTGAGAAAGATACAGAGAAGAAAGGAAAGGAGAGTGGAGGAAAAAAGAGAAAAAATGTTTTAACATGTATTAGTCATGACCCTGATATTTTTAACTTTATATTTCTCATTTACTCTTTATAGTAAAAAGTTGAGAACATAATCCTCATAAAAGTAAAACACGGGAAACATTAAGAAGAAACGAGGAACACAAAGATTATTAAATTCTAGTACATTTTAGAGCCAATTTCTTTTCCTTTTTTGACCCTGGGCCTGTACGTATTTTTGTGGTTACCTTAGAAAATGTATTTTTGTTTCTCGTGCAAAATTCAGCTTTGTCTATTTAATATATTTTCTCCTATTTAAAGTTAGTAACTAATCTTAAAGGAGTTCAATTATGTTTAGCTGATAACATCATTTATCAAGTTACCAGGGAACTTTTTTCTGTTGCTTTTTAAAAATGTCATATTTTCTCTAGAACATTATAAAGTACCTACTATGTTTTACACAAATTAGCACATTTAATTCAATAAAGAAAATACTGTGTTGAATTCCCCATTTCTGAAACTAGATATCTATGACTTGATTCCCAAATTTTGGTGTAATTTTAGCATATCCTTGTATAATAAAGTTTACTTTAACTTTTATCCTATCCTTTTAATCTACATATTGCATAGATTGAAAGAAAGACAAGCCTGGCTTAGTATTACTGCCTATAAGCCCAAAATTCCCAGGTTGGGAGGTAGCACAACCTTTTTTGGGTACTTGGCTTGGGCTTATCACCAATTGCTCCATTGTATGCCAGACAGGGATCACTCCTCCCAGTCTTGCTAACTTATTTTTTGCTGAATAAAATGACTGACTTTACCCATGTCTAAAGAGACTCACTTAATCTAAAGTGAATGTGTGAACTCCATTCAGTGGTGAGTAACTCGATTGCTTAGGCAATGTCTGACACAAAAAGGTGTACGATAGATTATTCAGTGGAATTGAAAGGGAAACTCACAACGAGACTTTGAAATTAATTATATACTAGGAATAAGTTTTTCCAAAATACTAAAATGGCTTAGGAAAACAATGTTTTTTCTTTTCTATGTGTACAATTGTAGAGTGGATATTGTGTGCATTTTCCACTCTAATTTAGACCAGGTGAAAGGAATAAATAATGAAGTGCTGACATATTTATTTTGCATCTACTACGTTTATCCATTAAAATAGATTTATCTGCACCATTTCCCTTAAATTGCAATCATGCCCTGGTTTTGCAGCAATTTTCTGTATTTTGTGAAATTATGCCTCCAGAAGCTTATCATGCATGCCTTTGGGGGTCACATTGTTCCACAGGGTCGTCAGCATATGTATAGCCATGCCATTTCTCCCAGATATGAGAGCTCAACATTCTCTGCTTCCCAAACTGCAATAAAATAGAATTTATCCATTTCTGTAGGCACAGATGTAATGTTATGTGTATATGTTGCTTACTCAAAGCTTCCTTTGTTTCTGAACACTCAGTTTCTTAAAATGCAGATGAAATCTGCATTTGCCTCACAGCTATTTTTTAAAGCAATTTCAATAGCTTTGCTCAATTTGGAGTTGGATGAATGAGTATTTGCTATGGATTCTGATTCTGAGAGGTTTACTTCTAAATACAATCTTATAAATGTGCAAAACATGGAGACTTTCAACATGTCTCCTAAAGATTCATTTTCTGTTTGGTCATCACCTTTTCAGCCTCATTTCCTTTATGCAGTGCATAATCTCTTCTGCGGGATCGGCAATAGGCGCTTTCCATTCTCACCACTTGCCTTGTTACCATCAAACCTAATGGCTCCAATTGAAAAAAAAACTGTTTAATTATTTAAGAAAGCTGTGTTCAATACTTTGAAAATACTATTTCATTGAGTTCTTTAAAGAGCAAAAAGAGTACATTATTGTTATAAACAATCAAAACACTATATTGTGTGTGTAAAGTCCAATATGGAAATCTCCCTCCCTCCCCTAAGTCCTACTCCCAGCGAGGTGAACACCTGCCATGCCCTTGGGGGCTTTTCTGCACGCCTTTACTTACACATACACCTAAATGAATTGTTGTGCAACTTGCTTTTCTCACTGAACTGCCTCGGAGCTCCTTCCCTGTCAGTGTATATACTTTCACTTGACTTTTTAAAACCACTGCAGAAAACCCTGTAGGACAGATTTAACTATTGTCCACTGCTGCACATTTAGGTTATCTATTTTTCTATATGTTATTTTAATAAAATGACCTTTTTTCTGTAGTATAGATTCCTAGAATTGGGATAGCTTTTGGTAAATATACCAAATTTCTTTCTAGAAAGGCTGGGATTATCTACATTCTCTGCAACAATGAATGCCAAGGTCCTACTCACCAGACTTTACCAACACTGGATATGACCCTCATTTTCAAATTTTCTACTAGTATTTTCATAATTTTTAAATTTTGAGTTTACATTTTGATGCTTTTAACTCAACGTGTAAAGAAAGGTTTGTGACTCGTATTAAAGGCAGTAATGTTTTATCAACATAAAATATTTTTCTTCATCTATTAAATAGTTCATTGCTTTTTACCTTGATTCCTCTTCGGTCTGGTATTAGTAGAACTGTTCCTTCTCTTCCTTAGCACTTTCCTGTTTCTATCTCTAGTCTTTTATTTTCAATATTTCTATTTCATTTTATAAAGATAATTGAACTTTGCCTTTTTACCTAATTTTATTAGGCTTCATTTATTAATCAAGGAGTTCTTTGCATTTATTGTGAACCTTGAAATGTTTGACCTTTTCCTGGCATCTTATCTAAACTTTTCTCTTTATTAAGCTTTTATTGGTTCTCCTTCACCTTTTTTTTTTTTTGAGACAGAGTCTCAGGCTAGAGTGAGTGCCATGGCGTCAGCCTAGCTCACAGCAACCTCAAACTCCTGGGCTTCAGTGATCCTTCTGCCTCAGCCTCCCGAGTAGCTGGGACTACAGGCATGCGCCACCATGCCCGGCTAATTTTTTATATATATATCAGTTGGCCAATTAATTTCTTTCTATTTATAGTAGAGACGGGGTCTCGCTCTTGCTCAGGCTGGTTTTGAACTCCTGACCTTGAGCAATCCGCCCGCCTCGGCCTCCCAAGAGCTAGGATTACAGGCGTGAGCCACAGCGCCCGGCCTCCTTCACCTTTTTTTAAAAAATGTTTTCTCTCTTTCACTGACTTGATCAGTTACTATCCCCCCCCCCAACTCATGATCTGGAAGTTTTATAACCCATTCATGATCTACATCTTATTTCTATTTTACTAACAGTTACATTTACATTTTAGGCAGACATTTAAACATACACACACACAAGTTTTGTTTTATCTTAATTTATATGCAATATTCACATATATATATATACACATATGTGTCTTTAGATTTTTAATCAATCCTGATTGAATGATAATTTCTTAAACTAAAGGAGTGATTTCATGTAAAATAGTTTATGGTCATCCATTAATATTCACAGAGTCATCTATCTCAAGCATTAAGCAGGGCATAAGGGCTTGATACAGGGCATTAAAATGCAATCTTAGAGACACACTACTTTTTGAGTTCCCAACTTCAATATCAACAATTTCAGGGACATTTTTTCAGTGAAAACATATATCAATAATGGCACTATTCCAAGTATTTCTATTTTTATGTAGCTTTGTAATTCTTTGCTCTCTCAATATGCAGTACTTCCAATTTTTTTATAGATAAAATATCACTTTTTAAACTTTTCCTATAAAAATAATTTCTACGGTATCATCTACCTCATGTGGTTGTAGATGACAGAATGGGCCTGGACTGTAGCGAAATGCCTAACAGTGAAGGCTGGGAGTTCGCAGGGGCAGCGACCAGACCCGCAGCAACACCGCGGGAACCACAAGTAGGGTGCTGAACAGACACCAGTCTGCCGCTGAGGCTCGCTAATTCCAGAAACCAGATGTTCAATTTTTACCTTAAATGTTCAGAAATTCAATTATTTTCCAGTTTAAAAAACTACCTGCAAATATACAGCACAGGGCCGTAAGGGAAACTTCTTCCCGTCATCGCAAACACTCCACTGGCGCCATGCATTCAGGAGCAGCCCTGGCCCACACGCGGCCACTGGTCCCATGGCTGTTCAGGCACGTGGAATGTGACGAGTTGGCACTGAGATGTGCTTTAAGTCTGAAATACACAGTGGATTTCAAAAAAGAATGTTCTTTTTCACTACAAAAAAGAAAAAAAAATGTAAAATCTCTCTTAAATAATTCTTATATTGCTTACATATTGAAATGATACTAATGGAATATTAATTGCTCCTGGTTTTTGCTTTTTTAAATATTACTAGAAAATTTTAAATTATGTATCTGGTTCTCATTACGTATCTATTCAACAGAGCTCTTCTAAATGTCCTTGGACCCACCAAGAGATGACAGTTTGGGGAAATGGTGACTACAAAAGAAACACCACTTTCCGTGAGCTGCCGACAGAGACGGCAGGAAGGGTGGCAGTTCTCGGTGGCGCTCCCACTGTCGCCTGCAGCAGGAGCTTTACCGGCCCCAACAGATCCTGCTCTGCTCACAGTTTGTGTGTCCCTATCATTTTCTTGGAACTCCAAAATTTCTGTCTTGACAACACCTGTGACAGCCCCAGGTCTGCTCACTGCAATTGCATCCTTAGGGGCCCAAGCAGCGATTCCCTGGCGACACAGGAGTGTCCTCTCTTCAATGAGACAAGGGCCTACGAAATTCTCCTGGCCGGTGGTAGCTGCCTTTTTTTGGTTTGATCATTAGCGTATGTTCTAAATTCATCATATGGCCCAGCAATGGGATCAGCGGCTGAGTTTCTGACTCTGGGTTGACTTTGTTTCTGCACCATGTTGTTCCTATCTTCTAAATACTCAGAGCCTATGTAGTTTATAACAGCTCACACGAACCACTCCTATGCTTCATAGATGTATTAATCTAAAATCCTGACTTTTTTTGTCCTCTATGAAGGGCAACAGTCAAGTTTTGTGACAATGTCATCCTTTTACAAAAGAAATGTGATCCTGTTGTTTGTAAAGCCTAGTGGACAAAGCACGTGGCATAAGGACCCTCACGCCCCGCCACCAGGCTGCACCGAGAGTCCCCACCTTCCAGCCTCAATGCCCAGGCTCGGCCCCTAACCCGCAGTTTTCTATCCACATTAAGACTTAACCCGAATGTATACTGAATTCCCTCAAGTAAAACAGAACCCATAATAAAAAATCAGCAGATGTTTTAATTTTCTTCTCCTTTATCCCTGTTTGTTGAAATCATTTGGAATTTTAGTTTTGGATTTTTTAATGTTATGATTTTAGGAATTCCTTTTAACAGTTTTATCAAATGGTACAACTGTCAATACATTATCAGAAATGATTTAGACTTGGTCATAAGGGTTACTGGTTCCTTTGCCCATGGATTTCTGTTGAATCCTGCATCTTTCCTGTGGTTTACTCACTATCCTGACTCACTCTCCATTTGCCGAAGGTGTCCTTCAGGGCCCTTCTTTCCCCTCTTTTCCCAGAAGGAATGTGTGAGTGGTAATCTTGGGGTCCATTGTGTTTAAATAGGACTTTATTTTAGTCCCACATTTGACATCTTATATCCATCCAAAATTCTAATCTCAAAATAATTTTCCCCCAGGACTTTGTGAACACTGTGCTATTATTTTCTAGTATTTAATGTTACTTTACCCTTAGGTAACATTCTGAGTATTAGTCTTTTACTACTACCCTATTTGGTTGATCTCTCTCCCTCTTTCTTTCTCCCTAAACTCAGAAATCTCACCAAGACATGTCTTAATATTTCTTCTCCATCCACAATTCTTGCTTAGCACTCACTGGACTCTTTTCATATAAATACTCCTGTACTTATTTCAGGAACATTATCTGCTCTTATCAATGTGACTATTGTCTCCCCTTTTTATTTTCTATAGAATTTCCATTATGTGGATATTAATTTCCTGGAATCTATGTTTCATACCACTTAATTCCTCGTTTCCAACTCTTCATCTTTCTGCTGTAGATTCTGAAATAATTCCACACTTACTCTTCCCTATAACTAATTTGGTTTCAGCTTTTCCATTCTAATATTCAGTCCTTCCACTAAGATTTTTATTTTGACAATTAGCACTCTTTTCTGTTTCCTGCATCTTTATTTCATAGCTGTGGTAGCCCCATGCTCCCTACCTCCTGGTATTTATGCCATTTTTAATACCCTTCCCCGAGTGTGGGAAGGACTGTGTCTTGCTCCTACCCACAAGAATACAACAAAGGCGATGGAGGGGCACTTCTGTGATTACATCACTGAAGATTATAAAGTCTTTCTTGCTGGAAGACACTCTCCTTTGCTGGCTTTGCAGAAGCAAGTATGCAGCCATGCTGGAAAGCCGGCGTGTCATGGTTACTGGAGGCAACCTCCCCCGAACGCACAGCAGGAACTGAGGCCCCCAGTCCGGCCATCTGTAAGAAACTGAACACTGCCAACAACCATGCTCGCTGGGAAGTGGTTCCTTCACCGCCAAGCCTTAGATGAGACAGCAGCCTTGGCCAGCGCCGTCACTGCAGTCTTACGAGACCCCGAGGCAGAGGACCCAGCTAAGCCCGACCCACAGAAACTGCAGGGTCATTATGTGCGTTGGTCACAGCCACTAAGTTTGCGGTAATGTTATTACACAACAATAAACTAATACAATGGCTACCTGCTTTTGTTGTGGCTGCCATGCTTTCTGGGATCAGGAGTTTTTAAAGCTCTACTCAGTCTCCTGATCAATGGTTTTCTCTGATGGAAATTCCTCTGCTTCTTCTCTGGTTGTCTCTCAAACTGTCAGGTTTTCTCAGATGTCTGGTGAATCTTATGTGGTTCTGAGGTGAACATAAAAGTCCCTGGCTGCAGGGAACTTTCTAGTGGGTGTTACATGGGGTGGGGACAGGTTAGGGATAAAAAGACAGCAAGCATAAATATTTTCAGATATTACCAATAAAAAACGTAGGGTAATGTGCTAGTGGTGGGTGTGCATATGTTTGAAGTTGGTGGAGGCTCCCTCACAGACAGGGGTCAGGGAAGGCCTTTCTGGAGAAATTATATTAACTTGAATGAGGCAATAACCACCAGAGGCTGCAGGGAAATTTCCAAACTCAAGGAATAGGTAGTATAAAGGCCCTTGCTCCCTCCATTACTTTCCTACTGCTGCTGTAACAAATTACCACAAACTTAGCAACTTAGAACAACACAAAGTTATTACCTCGGAGTTCAGTCAGTCAGAAGTCTGGTAGGCTCTGTTGGTTTCTCTGCTCTGGATTTCCTAAGACTGAAATCAAGGTGTCAGCTGGCTCTTATCTGGAATCTCTGGGGAGGCTTCCAGGCCCATTCAGGTTGTTAGCAGAATCCATTTCTATGCACCTGTAGAACTGATGTCTCTGTTTCCTTGTTGGCTGTCATCTGGGGGCTGCTGTCAGCTCCTAGAGGCTTCTCTCCAGCCCGTACACATGGCTCCCACATCTCAGAGCTGCAACAGCAGGTTACATCCTTCTCACACTTGGAATCTCTGACTTCCTCTTCTGCTTTTCTCTTCTCTAACCAGCCAGAGAATATTCTCTGCTTCTAAGGGTGCATGTAGTTCTCACTTCAGCGATACTCTACTAAAGGACTCATGTGATTATATAGGGTCTATCCAAATAATTCAGGGAAACCTCCATTTCTTAAGGGTCCATAACTACCTTACATCTGCAAAGTCCCTTCCCAGCAGTGCCTAGATTAGTGCTTGACTGAATAACCAAAGGGGAATATCTGGAGAGTTCTGCCTACCATGCTTCCCACTGAGAAACCTGCTTGCTGCACTCTGGTTAAGATAATGGGCCAGTGGGATGGAACAAAGAAGGAAAGATGGAGAGTGAAATCATGTTTGGCTCCAGGAAGAAACTTGGATTTTATTTTCATTTCAGTGGGAATCTACCAGAGGATTATACGGGGGGAAGTGAGACAAACTAATTTATACTTTAAAACTGATTAGTACAGAGAGTGGAAAAGCTTCCTTACCAGTTGTGTCTCTCACATTGCCCAGCACGGCCAAGGATGGGAAGGGAGGTGTCAACCGTGATGTGGCCATGATTGTGTGTCTGAGCGTGGGCCTGCATGTGTCAGTAGGAGGGACACAGGAACTGTAGGAAGGGAGGTTGATCCTTAAAAAAATGAAAAAGTAGGTAACAAGTTATAAAGTAAGACAGGAATGAGTATATTGGCAGCTTCCACTGCTTGAATCGAGTACTAATGTAATAAAATACACATTGTCTTATGTGGTAACCTGAAGTTACCTGCCACCCTGGCTCATTTCTCAGGCCACAAGGCCCACAAAAGCCAGGCCACTGTAAACCACTCCCTGATTAAGGGAACTCTACTTTCCAGCAGATGCAAATGAACACAGTGGGGCATGAGGTCTGCAAGACTAGTCTTGGCGATCCTCTCAGATACCAAGACTACTGGCCCACGACTTTCTGCAGCCTGAGCGAGGGGTACGGCCCAGGTACTGCTGAGAAAACCAATCTCAGCTGGCCTTTCCACAGCCTTTTGTTACTCAGCTCACGGATTCCAACAACACAATACCATTCACCTTATAACTTCCAGAAACACATGAAATGTCATATTTGAAAATGGCATCCTTCCCTCCTTTTCACCATTGCAATGTATATATTCTTTGTTTTTATCTTTTCATTTCAATGAGAATTTTTTACATATGGGCAGGAAAGATAAATTTGTGGCTTAGCCCACTATCTTAAATGATTATTTCCATACTATACTTATTAAACTAACATTTTCTTCTTAAAAAAAAAAAAGCTGGTGTAGTTTTTCTAGAAGCCTATTAAGGGAAAGCTGAGCTACAGGTATTATCTTGGATACAAAGGCAAGGAGCAACCCTGACACCAAAGGATCAGACCATCAAGAGGATGGGGTCCCTCTCTGGGATTGCATAGCTTAGTCACACCTGGGTACAGGAGCTGGGTGGGGCCTGACAGGCCAGGGCAGTGAGCGGAGATGAGAAAAGGAAGGGACAAGGCTCTGCTCTGGACTCATTGACCCTGCACAGGCTGCTGTGGTATTAGAGTGCTTGCCGTGGCCACATTTGAGGAACCTAGGACTTGCCTATTTTTTCCCTAAGTCATCTCTAAATTTCTGAGCAGAAATGGATTGAGAGAGCTCTAATACCTCGGCTTCCCTGACTCTGGCAGGGGCCCTCAGCCAACAGGCCCACTGCTGCTTGCAGGCATGCCTGAGCCCGTCACAAGCACCAAAGGTCCAAGTGTCCCACCTTACGTGGATTCCCTAATTTTTCTTTTTTCCTTTTCCTAAATGATTTATATATTCAGTGGTACATTAGGCTGACTTAACTCCTTACCAAAGCCCTCTCTCCACATACTTGCATTCAGATTCAGGAGCTGAATACTTTCACAGCCCTTATGTGACTACATTTTGTTTTGCATCCAACTTAGTGCACAGCACCTGGTAACCTGTAGGCAATTGTCAAATTCCTAAACTTTGGGCAACTGATAACAAAAGAGCAGACCTGGGTGTGTCATTAAGAACTGTCTAGTACAACTCCTTCACTTTTACTGCTAAAAAACTGAGATCTTTGGGGGTATGTACAAACTGCCCAAGGTCACAATCACTGGCAGTTTTCTATTATCCATTTTAATGCTCTTTCCATTATAAACTGTGTGATGGAAAATGTAAAAGTCTTTTTTAAGGACAAGAGTTAAAAGTGATGACTATGTCATCTATTCTCATAAGACTTCCTCCATTCGGCCAGGCTGCTGGGGCAGACCTTTAAAACAGCTCCATCTGCTTAAACTCTTTAAAATGTGCTCCAGCTGCCTGCTAAACACCAGCTCAATTTGAGGTCAAGAACTAGGAATCTAAGAGGGAAGTTAAAAGATGTTTCTTTATCTGACCTGTCCTTTTGCCATGGAACTGGATGGAACCCTTCTCAATCACACCTCTGGAGGTAGGTCATAAGGTGTCCCTTAAAAACACTGGGGAATAACAATGGAGACCAATGAATAGCACCTAAGGATGACAAAGTGAAAAATAACAATCTGGAGCCTGTGAAAAAGCTCTAAAGTCTAGAAGAAACGTAACTAAAAGGTTTTTCTTTCCTTTGAATTAGAATTTTTCCATGAAACTAAAGATAAATTTAGATGGCACATGATCTCTAATAATGAAATGCAAATATCACAACACTAAGCAGAATAAGCTAGAATAGACAACCACGTGAAATAGCTGAAAAGAAAATGAGCCTTTGAAGCAATGAAAGCAAAATCAAGGTGGACCGAGAAGAGGATGCACAACTATTGAATAACCATGAGCCAGGCCTTTTAAATCTACATTTTACTACTTCTCACGTGCCAAGAAAATAGGCTTGAACAATTAAGTAGGTAACAGTCACTAGCAAATGACAGAGCCAGAATCCAGCAACAGGTTATTTGGTTCCAAAACCCATGATCTTTATACTGTAACTCCACCTTATCTAGACCAACTGGTCAATGTGGAAAGCAGACTTGATAAATATTTTAGAATTAAGAAAATGAGTTAAAATTTCAAAAGGATGAAAAAGAGACCATAGATTAGAATAGAAATTTTCCACAGATGAATACAAATCAAAAGGACCATATATTATTATTAGATATATTAAGAGAAACATTTTTAAAGGCCTAACATTATAAGTTAGGATAAATTACCATATTCCTACCCAAATGTTTAAGTATTAATTCTACAGCCAAGTGACATGTGTTGTAAAATGTATATTTCTACGAAGGCACTATAACTTTTTAAGACATTAAAAATCAGGTTAGCATTCATATCTCTGAAACAATCCAAGATAATCATACCCAACCAAGGCAATCATATGTAGAGACAGAAATCTTAATCGAAGTTTCAGTAAATGTCTACACAACTGCCTCAGAAACATACTCAAAACTGCAATGGGCTAAGAGATGTCTCTATGTGTATAACGTAGAAACAAATGTCAAGTGACTCTGTAGCTCAAATTTTCCTTTCAGCTTTAAAATATGCTGATTATTCCTTTCAGGTTTAGATATTTATCTAATAGAGTAGACCTTAATTCAGGAGTCATTTCACATGATAACCAGAAACATGGGCTCTGCCTAATCTAAGATCAGCTGAACCAATTATATTTTCTCTTTTGCACATAATCTAAACTAAGATCCACTGACGGAAGTGGCCCTGTGATTGGTGATTAACGTAAGAGCAGAAAGTAAGACCAGGCAGAAGCTACAATTGAAGAAAACTATTAATAAACATTAAGCCCAAGTTAAAGAATTAAGTAAAACATTAATACTTAGTGGACGATCACTGATAAATCTAAATACCTACAGTACTTATAAGCCCCAAAAGGGTGGGAGTGGTCTGTAGAGACTTAAATACCAAGAAAGAAAATCTACAGAGAATTCCTTGACATCAATACCTAGGCATCCAAAGATATAACATTGTTTATATAGAAATAGAAAGGGATACAGTAATGAATATTGTGAAATAGTGTATAACTGAAAACTCAAAAAGTTTAACATCCAAATTCTAATAAAAGACAATCATATATTTCAAAGGGAAAAACTAAAAGCTCCAACGATAAGCTTTAAAAATAAAAATGGAAAGCAGACCAAGAATACAAATTTAAAGCATATACACACAGAGAGACTAAATTCACCTATTAAAAATGTTTCAAATTCCATTTCAAGTTGCATTATTCACAAGAGAAAACATCAGAACTTGAATGTAGCTTCCGTGGGACCCGGGATTTGTCTGTGTTATCACTCTACCTTCAGCACTCAGAACACTACCAGTTGTTTTTTGAATGAATGATTGCAAAAACAATGCTAACAAACACCCAAACTGCCTACTGTTACCATGGTAAAGGTAAAGAGTCCCTTTGATTTAGTGCAGAGGAAAATTCTATAACAAGACACTACTTTTCTAGGGGACAATTTAGAATACAAGCCAAAAGCTTTAAAAATGTACATATTCTTTAATCCAAGAATTTACTCAAAAAAACTATATACTTTAAAAAAATCACTAAATGGCAACCAACATATTTTTGTTTACAATAACCAAAAGATAAATCACCTAATTTCCTGCCCTAAATGCCCTCTAGCAGGTGACCAGATAAATTACAACCATGCAGACAATGGAATCCTAGGCAATCATAAAAGGAAAGATGTTGTAGATGTCTATGGTAACATGGAAAATGATGACATACTTTAAAGAAAAAGAGCAGGCTACAAAAGAGGATGCATAGTATAGTCCTGCTATTATATAAAACAACATCTGGAAGAATCTGTACTGTATTCAAAGTGTATCCTCCAAACCGGAATGATTAACAGCAATTTTTATCCTCTTTTTAAACTCTATTTTCTAATGTTTCTACAATGAACTTATAACACTATTCTGGTGATGGGCCCACCTAAAGCCCTGACTTAAGCATTATACAAGGTATCCATGTAACAAAAACATCTGTACCCCCTTAATCTTTTGAAATTAAAAAAAAAAATAGTCCTTTATAAGACAACAATTTATTTTTGAAAGACAGCAATACTACAGGCTATGAAGTAGTGTCAAATAAAATGTTAATGCTGAACATCATATGCCCTCTGAAAAAATACAACATTCTTCACCTTCCAGTTCTGTGGATATATCTGATACCAGATTATATCTTGCTACTTCTGAAAATGCTTTCATTAGCTAGCTCTAGTAAAGAAAGAAAATCATAAAAGGTTACAAACTGACAGAACAAAGTAAAAACTGGCACTTTCACTCTAGCTTTTGGTGAGATCTTAAATCTATTTACATAACAATGCTCTGTTTCAAATGTAAACTACTAGCATAGGCAACATTAAGAAATATAAGGCCTTCAAAAGGAACTTTCTTTAATAAAAGATGAATATTAATCAGATACAATTTCACATATAAATGTAATCTTCAGACTAAAAAAGAGTTTCCATTTGAGCTCACTATTCATATTACACACTTTACTTTCAAAAGAAAGACTTCTTAGAAACAAAAAGTTCATTCTCATTTTGTTTAAATAGGCTTACTCATCAGGTAATAACTGGAAGCCAAATAAAACATATATTAACATAGGCTATGTCAATTGTTTGTAAAATTTGAGGTACTGTTATTCTTACTTGAGGTACAGAATTCAGAATATATTCTAAAACACACACCGAACAAATCTCCAGCTTTGTATGCTAAAAAATGAAAAAGACTGTACTACACAGATGCCATCTTTTAATTTCAAGTGGCTCACTTACTTTCCACAACCAAAAGTTTTGTTCCAGTTTTCATAAAGCTCTAAGTCTTTTGGGGACACACTAGGTCGCACAATTCTAAAAGCATTTTCAAAATCAATATAAGCTATCAGTCGAACCTGATCTGGTGTTATAGTAGCAATATCAGCAGTTTGTAAGCTGCGAATTGGACCAAGAGAAGCCTCTCTGCAAAGTTGTGTCATGTCTGCTCCTGAGAACCCATCAGACTGCTGTACAATTCGTTCAATTTCTTCTTCATTGAGGTGACACTGCTCCTTGGACATAAGATTAATTACTATCTGTTTCCTGGCTGAAGCTTCTGGGAGGGGAATATAAAGCCTTTTCACCAATCTTCTTCGGGCAGCCTCATCAATTTCTTGTGGCCGATTTGTTGCTCCCACCACTAAAATACGATCTTCAGAAGATGTGGTTGCTCCATCTAACTGAACTAAAAATTCAGTTTTTATCCTTCTAGAAGATTCATGCTCACCATCACCCCGTTGAGATAATAGGGAATCAATTTCATCAATAAATATCACAGCTGGTTGCTGACACCTTGCAACAGCAAACAATGCACGGACCATTTTCTCCCCCTCACCTACCCATTTAGAAGTCAAGGATGAAGCGGAGATGCTAAAGAATGTTGCCCCAGACTGACTAGCAATGCACTTGCCAATTAGAGTTTTACCAGTCCCAGGAGGACCAAAGAGTAAAATTCCTTTAGGGGGTCCCCGTAAACCAGTAAAGATGTCCGGCCTCATCATGGGCCACACAACTATTTCCTTTATTGTGGCTTTAGCAAATTCTACTCCTGCGATATCTTCCCAATTTACTGGAGGCCCATGATCCATAATCTCATTCATAATAAGTTCAATCATCTTTGGCTCCAAGTTCTTCAGGCGCTCATCAACTGGAAGGGTTGGTTCTGTAGTTCCTGCACCATGAGGCTTATACTGCATTCCTCCATTCTGCTCTCCATCTTGCTTAGGTATCGGAGGAACAAATTTTCCAAATATTCCTCGGGATCTACTAGCTCCCAAAGACTTTTTTACACCACCATATGAAGACCCTGATGCACGCTGGGTTTGGTGGTACTTTTTTTGCTGATCTACCCATAATTGCTCTTTTGCAGTTTTAAAAGTAGGCAGGTTGCTATCCTTTTGGCCATTATCTTCTGTCCTACTAAAAGCCTTATTCACCATTGGATCAGAAAGTGCATCAATGGCGCCAGAACCATAAAAAGACTTCCTTTCCCAGGGATTTTCACAGCCAGCAGAAAAATGAGACTGATTAGATAAGAACATATTTAGTCCTATGCTGTATTTTGGAGAGCTGTGATTTTCCTTTTTGACATTTCCAAATAATGGTGTGGCATGGAATTTTGCACTGGCTGAGTCACCTAAAGGCACTGAGAATGTAGGACAAGTCTTAGCAGTGTGAGTCACCATAGGTGGCTGGGCACTCTGAGGACACTTCAAAGGATTATTCTCTAGGAAGTCTTGGATCCTATCTGTATCATGAGTTGAGTTCAGTAATAGGTCACTCTCTCCAGAACTGCCACAAACACTAAATTTAGGAAGATCCAACACAGAGGCCTCCTTATGGATTACCAGTGATGCATCAGCAGGTTCCAACAGAGAGTCTTTGAATGTTTTGCCAGCTTGCATCATCTTCTGTACATTACTCATTTGGAAAACATTTTTTATGGACAATCCAGACTGCCACTTGTCACTGTCAGTTTGTTGAGATCTTGGCAAAGTTAAAATGTTTTCTGCATAGTTATTCAAGCCAGATTCAGCATTGTCAGAATCAATAATTGCAGAATATTTCTCTGCATATTTTTTGTACAGTTTGGTAGCACAGACCTGGGAAATCTCAGAGTTTGCCCATGCATACTGAATGCGTAATATCTGTGCACGGTATGCATCTGCCTTCTGTCCTGGACATGTGCCAGACGTAATTGCAAAGTAATTCTTCTGCCATTCACTCAGGTGCACAGACCTAGAGCTGGAGGTCTGCATTTTAGAGGGTTCTATAATAAATTACAAAAATGAAAATGAATCAGTATCATGAAGAAAATAAAGATGTAATACTTTAAACAGAGTTTTTAAAATCTCTGTTAATCTGAAGAAAGGTACACTGGACTTTTTACGTATTAAAATACAAGGACATATTATTTAAAGGAGAAATATCCAGTAAACCAAAGATTTCAAGTATTCAAGATACACTGATATAAAGTCTTCAAGATTAAAGACTTAATAATAATTTTTATGAGTTAAATTGTTTTATATAATTTTCTCTGTGAATAGGGAAAACATTCATAAGGTTTATATAAAAAGGATTTAAAGTTAATCAACAAAAGAAAGGCAATAAGGAAGGACATTGGAACTACAGATACACAAAACCAAAAAAACTACGAGTTTAATTCTGGTCTCTAAGATACATTACATGAATGATCTTAAGCCTTTTACTATCACTGAGCCTTCAGTTTTCTTATTTGTAAAGTAAGAGGAACCACTGTGAGAATCAAGAAATGAATATAAAAATAATCTCAAAACTACTGTCATTATTCCTACTGCATATATAGAAACTGAGCTGAGTTAAGGAACTTACTTGAGATGACACAGCCAATTATGAATGGTGCCAGAAATCCAACACAAGCAGTTTCACTCCAGATGTTATGCACACGTACACAATGTTCCTTGATGTTTACTAGCCTAGGTCACAGATTGAGCAGCACGAATCATAAATATGAACTATGACATTTAAATGTTTTTAATGACTTATTCACAAATAAGCACCTAAAACAGAATGCCCCAGAATCTCTCACAATCTCCCAGTTTCAAATAAAAAATGAAATTGTCACAATAAATGAAATGAGAACAAGCTAGTCTACTAGTAAAGTGCTTTTACTTTAGATTTTTTTCTCTCATTATATTCATAAGCTTCATCACATTAAGCTATATTCTAACAGAATTATAAATGAATATATCATGTTGCTAGATGTATAGAATTTGCCTGCAAATCCAAAAGAAAAATGTACTTTAAAAAACCTTTTGTTTCCTACGAGAATTAGAATAAAGTAAAAACCAACAACTCATGCATTTGAAATTTTACCTTCTAAATTACCTGGAAGTATAGCTTAATAATCAATAGGTTCTTTTAGTTCAAGAGCCATATTTAATAGTTTAGTATCTCCCATAATGCCTTGCAAACAATTTGTCATCGTAAAGGTGTTCATAAATCTTTGTTTAAAAAAAAATAAAAGGGCAGGGTGCGATGGCTCACACCTGTAATTCTAGCACTCTGGGAGGCCGAGGCGGGCAGATTGCTGGACGTCAGGAGTTCAAAACCAGCCTGAGCAAGAGCGAGACCCCAACTCTACTATAAATAGAAAGAAATTAATTGGCCAACTAATATATATAGAAAAAATTAGCCGGGCATGGTGGTGCATGCCTGTAGTCCCAGCTACTTGGGAGGCTGAGGCAGAAGGATTGCTTGAGCCCAGGAGATTGAGGTTGCTATGAGCTAGGCTGAAGCCATGGCACTCACTCTAGCCTGGGCAACAAAGTGAGACTGTCTAAAATAAATAAATAAATAAAAAGATCCAGTGAGACTATAATTTGTCTAAAACTATAAAGCTAGAGTGAAAACTAGAACTGACCTCCCCTGAAGCAGTTCATACTTCTTTTTAATATACCATTTTAACTCTTATTTTAAACTCATTTATGAAATATTAGAAATGAGAAATTGAAAGAAGTGACTTGGAAAGCATTTGTCACAAACTTGCACAATTACCATGATCATCCCCTTCCTCTCCAGGATTTCATTTCACTTAATCATCTGCAATCCTGGGATCAGCTCAATAGCTCAGAGTTCTAGTCATTATTCCCAGAATTCCCTCCTTTCCATCCTCACCTTTTCCCTCAAAATTCATCTACTAAGTCTTACTTCCTTTCAACTCAATCATTTATCCAACAAATATAGATATGGATAACCAAAAACTGTTTGGCCATCACTGATCAATGACACAGTCACTGTCCTGTTCATCATTTGCAAGTCAATTAATTTAACAGCCAGGTGCAGTGGCTAAAAGTGCTGGGAGGCTGAGGCTGGAGGATCTCTTCAGGCCAGGAGTTTGAGGCTGCAGTGAGCTATGACTATACCACTGTACTCCAGTCTGGGTGACACAGTGAGACCGCCTCTCTTTTTTAAAAAATGAACCTTTATGGCCTTTCCTAGATATAAAAAGTATGGTTTATTAACACTGACATATGAGCTGCATTTAAATCTTCTTTATTTTAACAATGTTCTGATTGTTTTAAGAATGTGACATCCTAACCAGATAGTTGGCTTCTGCAAGTAGAAACTGTTTACTATTACTTTCAGTACCTAGAATACGACATACGCTGGAATAGCTACTAAAAAACGGACGGTCCCTACCACGTGAAAAACACTGTACAGGAATTTTATAGAACTCTATTCTATAAAACAAAACAGCACAGGAGTTAAGAGCACAAGATCTTGAGCCGGGCTGCCTGTGCTCAGATCCTGGCTCTAGCATCTGCCAGCGCGACCTTTGGTAAATCTCTCAATCGCTATGTCGGTTTTCACCTAAGATGGAACACAGCTGCATCGCTTAGGTGACAGGGTCTTTTAATTCTGTAAAACACCCAAAACAGTCCTCAGCACTTAGAGAATACTCGATAAAACATTACCTATTATTGTTCCTCACAATGATACCTCAAAGAAGGGGTCATTCTTTCTTACCACAGAGGTTAACAACTTGCCCCGGGTCACGCGACCGGGGGCCAGCAGCACTCAGCAGAGTTCCAGCTACTGCCGAGCACCGCAAAAGGGCCGCACTGGGAAGCGGCAAAGGTACGCGCTGACCGGTCTCCAGCCCTCAGACAGTCCTCGCGGAAGGAAGCAGCGGGCAGACCCAGGCCGGGACCTGTGGTCCACGCCGGCCCTGCAGTCCCCTCGGTCGCCGCCTCTGCACACTGTGTCAAGCTAGGGTGAGCCTCGCTCTCGCTCCGGGACTGGCCATCCGCCACCCTGCCCTAAAGCAGAAGTAAAAGCGAACGAAGGGGCGCTAAGGGCACACCCACCGCCAGCAAATCCCGCGGCTGCCGCCCCGCCCCCGCCTCCGGCCTACCCGGGCCCTTCCGCCCCCGCCCGGCCCCGGCCCCGCGGCTCCCCCGCACGCCCCCCGCCCCGCGAGGGTCAGCGGCGCCCAGCCGCACCCGTCCCCCTCACCACCTCCGGCCGTCTGCCGGCATGGGCCGCCGGGGCCTTCGAAAGTCGCGGGCACCGACGTGCGCCTGCGCGCTGCTGACGCGCTCGGGCCCGCGCCGTGCGTGCGTGCGTGCGTGCGTGCGTGCGTGCGTGCGTGCGTGCGAGGGCGCGTAGGCACAGACGCGCGCCGGGAGGGGCTCGCGCTGGGGGCGGCGCGGGTCGGGCACCCTGACCGCCGGACCGGACCCGCGCTGGCCCGCGGCGTGTTGGCAGGGCCGCGCCGCGCTCCGTCTCCTGGAGAGCCCGCCCGCCTCCCCGCGGTGGCGCGTTTACAGGGAGCCGCACGTTGTCCGCGTCTCGTTGTAGAAGCTTCGCTTTTTAAAGTTCCCCGCGTACAGGCAAGGGGGCGACGGGCGCTAAAGTTCCGCGGATCCCCACAGGCCGAGGCGCACCCGGACTCGGCGAGCAGGCCGCCCTCGGTCGGGCCGCGCTTGCCCAGTGCGCCCGCCCGGCCCGCGGCTGTGCGCGCGCCACCGCCCCTCCGCACCGCGCGCAGGTGCCCGGTGCGTGCTTCCCGCCGGCTGCAAGAACGGAATGGGAAGCCTGCAATTTTGACAGACTTTTTAAAGATAAAATTAGGGAATTCGAATACCTGTTGTGCCTGAATCTTGAAGCTCAGATCTACCCCTCAGCCAACACTTACATACCTTTTGATGGCTCTTGGCTGTTCAGGGTCGCTTACCTGGAAGACTGAAAAGCACTCCATTATTACCTTACACTTTGTTCTGCAGCGAGGTTTCAGACAACAGTACCATATTTTGATTAGCGGAATTGGGTTTTCAGATACAAGCAACAAAACACCAGAGTGGCAAGAAGCCTGGAGATTGACAGAAAATGCAGGCCTGATGATGTGGTTCACAGATATCATGAAGGACCATCTTTTCATCCTGCCATCTGCTAACCTGTGGCTTTTTCTTCCCAGGCTTGTCACTTCATTGTTGCCAGATGCCCCTCTCGAACCCCCCCCAACCCCACCCCACCCCCGCAATCCATGCTAAGCCTCGGCACACAACCGCACCTACAACAGGAAGAAGGAGCCAGCCTGGGAAAGGACTTTTCCCCCTGAACACCTCTCTTGGAAAAAGAAAGAAAATGTTTCCCGGAAAGCCTCAGCAGTCTTCCTCTGGTATCTCCTTGACTAACTGGGTCCCCAGGTTATCCTTTTCTGAGACAGTGAGGATCTGGTGCAGAGGATGGAGAAAATGACCAGCAACTAGCAGCACATGACATTTAAACGCAAGAGCTAAAGAAATGCAGGCGAAGAAAAATTGAAGATCTTTTTAAAGTTTTTTTTAAATAAAAGGAATTGAGCAATACATTTTTTAAAAATAGACAAGTGTTAATTCACAATTGCAAAGCTGTGGAAACAACCCAAGGTCCCATGAATACATGAATGGATTAATAAAATGTATATGTATACCATGGAGTACTACTCAGCTTTAAGAAACAATGGTGATACAGCACCTCTTGTATTTTCCTGGATAGAGCTGGAACCCATTCTACTAAGTGAAGTATCTCAAGAATGGAGAAACCAGCACCACATGTACTCACAAATTACAGCAAATTGTTATTAACGGATCAACACCTAAGTGGACATATAGGAGTGACATTTATTGAGTGTCGGGAGGGTGGGAGGGGGGAGGAGGGGCTGGGTATATACAACCACAACAAATAAGCTGTGCAACGTTTGGGGGATGGACATGCTTGAAGCTCTTACTCGAGGGGGTAGGGGGGCATGGGCAATATATGTAACCTTAACACTTGTACCCTCATAATACACTAAAATAAAAAAAAATGGAGCAACTCAAAAAAAAATAAGACAAGTGTTACAATGAAAACAACAGCTCTTAAGTCATTTCGTGGCTTAGATAGTAATAGATTCTTTTATTCTAATTACCCATAATTTTGAAAATAATTTTTAAATTATTGTATAGTTTTAAACTATTATATAGTTTTAAACTAAATAGTTTTAAGCTATTGTATAGTTACCCAAAGTATATCATGTAGAATGAAAATGAAAACTATTATATCAACTATTATATCAGTTTCCATGTTTATTAGCTCTTTCTACCTGTGTATTTATTTAGCATTTTTTTGGTGCAAAATGATTCAGCTTTTATTAATTAGCATCTTGCATCTTAGAAGAAACAAAGAAGACAAAGGAGGTAGCAGAGCCAGGAAAGCTCCCTAAACAAACAGCAAGGAACAGAGGCAGGCAGGGCTCAGGAAGCCATCTGAGCACAGGGAGGTAGCTCATTCCAGGAATGGGCCTGGACCTAGGGGTGCTCCGGGATCTGGGCCAGGGGCAGCCGCTTCTGGGGATTGTATCTGAGAAGCTTGGAGATCAAGTCCTGGGCTCCCAAAGGTATTGAGAGGGGGAACCTCACATCTGCCTTGAGGATGTGTCTGTAGGTCTCATTGTGGGAAGCACTCTCAAAGGGTGGATTTCCCACCAGCAGCTCGTAGCAGAGCACCCCAGTGCACCACAGATCCACCTTCTCACCATATGTTCTCCCCTCGATCATTTCTGGAGGCAAGTAGTATGCACAGAACAGTCAAATATAAATACTATTTGGGTAATGTTAGGGATGCAATGCTATGTCCCTCCCCAAATTGGTATGTTGAAATCCTAACCTCAATGTGATGATGGTATTAGGAGGTGGGGGCCTTTGGGTGATTAGATCATGAGGTTAGAGCCCTCATGAATGGGATTAGTAAGTGCTTTTACAAAAGAGACTCCAAAGAGCTCTAGCCCTCTTTCCACGACCTAAGGATACAAGGAGAAGACAGCAACCTGTAAGAGATCCCTCACAAGAACCTGACCTTGCTGGTAGTCTGATCTCAGATTTCCAGCCTCCAGAACGGTGAGAAATAAATTTGTTTCTTTGTGCCATTCGGTCTATGGTACTTTGTTATAGCAGCCTTAGACAGGCTAAGACAGGAAACTAGTTATTTTTGGTGATTTTCATCACTAAAATTTTGATAATGTTTTGAAGAATTCATATAATCTACTCTCTTATCCTCCTAAAAGTATTGCTCAAATACAGAATTACATTTATGGTTGCAGTGTTAACTTTTTTCCAAAAAATAACACTACCTATTTCATTTTGTGGCTTTGATACACCAAGCATCTTCCAATCCAGCAATTTTCATCTTCCTGGATGGCTGGCAAAAGTACAACTCACTTCTGCACCCTTTCTGAAGCCCAGTCACCACCTCATCTGTAAAACAGGAATAAACTTCTCTAACTCAGGAAGCTATTGTAAGGATTACAGTCAATATGAGCAATGATACTGGAAATATCAAAGCAGTAGCTGGCATGTGCCAGGTACTCAACACAAGCTGTGACGCTATGTTACTTTTATTATTACTATTAATACTATTATTGGGATTCAAACCCTTATACCATATCGAGAGTTTTCCATCTTTTACAAACGGGATATATTAGAATAGTATCTTAATACTTTAGCATAATATGGAAGAGTTTAGTGCTTGAGCAACTATTAAACTTTCCTTCTAAGACCACAGACTGCTGGTATATACTATATACATACATATGTATACAAATATGAGAACGAACATACTGTTCTTTCTTCTCCTGGGTAAAGTTGTTTGACCCTTCAAGGGGAGAGGCTTTCATCTGTAACAGTGCCAGTTGTCTTGGTATGAGGGGTTCTGGAAGACGGCTGCTCATTTCCATATTCAAAATTTTATAAACCTGGTCTCAGATAAATGCCAGCGTACACTTCAGTGAGCTCATTTGCTTTTGAGCAGAGGGATAATATGGCCCTAAATAACATGCATTCCTGTCTGCCAGGAAGGTTGCCTTCCTGGAGTTTGGAGAGGTGTGTTTGCAGCTGGGTGTGGGAGGCAGGCAGGGTTGAGGAAGCAGGGAAGCAGGCAGAGGCAATTCAGTTCCTTACCTGTGTGCAGATTCCCACTGATGTCCAAACCGTCCCACTTCCTCACTCGGCAGTAAGGAGGAAGGAAGAGCCAGGCTTGCAGGGACGGTATTCCAGCCCTCCAACAGAGGAGCAAGGTGTGCAGGCTGGGGCAAATGAGATGCACAATTCTAGTAAAAGATTTTCCTTGGCTGCACTGAATGGATCATAAAGGGACATGAAGAGGCTACCTCTGGCATTGCTATCATAAACAGAGCTGGTGAGTGGGGGAGGTGGTGTCCTACCCTGTGTCAAAAGACAAAATTATGATAAATCTAGTTAAAAGTCTTATTGGCTTTTATTCCTGAATTATGAATCCGGCAGCCTCCATCCTATAGAAAAGAATGAGACTCCCACTAGGCAATGGCAGAGGAGTAGGTTTTGTAAGATGGGAACAAGGAAACAGAGCAATTGTAAAAAAGCTAATTGGTTAACATGAGGTTACTTCAGGTTACATTCCTTGTAAGGGTTAAAACAGAGAAGACAGACATCCTTATGACCCCAACTCAGGTAGACCAAGCTCTTTCTGACTGGTTGCTGTGAATCTCCTGTTTTCCAGAAAAACTGGTCTGTTTGGAGATCTACCTGCTTTCTTAAAGTTCCAGTTTATTAAGTGGCACTTAGCATGAGTGACTCCATTTTGGTTCTATCTGTCGGGATATAGTGCAGGAGCTCAGTTCAAAACAATGGCTTCCCGTAATTTTTGTTTAACTCTTGAAATGAGTGAGGCAGAGAGGAAAGGAACTATCTGCTTTGGTCATTTTCCTCAAGGCCACCGCTACCAGCCTAAGCCAGCATTTCTTTGTGCTTCTGGTGTGATACTGTATGTTATGGGTTGAATTGTTATTACCCAGATATGCTGAATCCTAGGCCCTGGTGTTTGTGACTGGGACCTTGTTTGGAAGTAGGGTCTTTATAGATGTGACCGAGTAGGATGAAGTCATACTGGATTTGGGTAGGCCCTCATCCCTTATGATCAGTGTCATCACAAAGAAGACGGGGAGAGACACAGGGGAAAGTGAGCCACGTGGAGACGGAGGCAGAGAGTGCTGCTGTCACAGCCAAGGAACGTCTGGGGTTACCAGAGCTGGACTTTGGAAAT